AAAGCTATGAATTATGATGATGTGGACAGGCAACAAGGGCCCAGGTCCAAAATCCTTTACTTGGACAAAAACCATTTTATTTGTATCAAAATGTCCTATCTTACATTTGGCAGCCTTAGGTTAGCGCGTGTATTGCACTGACGGCTCGTATTCCTCGTGGCTGAATGCAGCAAATTTGGGCCCAGAGTTTTCACCTGACTATCCAACAATGATGGACCTGAATCAAACATACAAAATATACAACATATTTATTGAAATGACATTAGTGAAGTCTATATTCGTACAAGAAAATATGCAAATCACATGATTTAAGCAAATGAAGTAGAAGCCTATAGCAAATGTTGAGTATACAACATCAGAATTTATTTTGTTGGGGTTTCTCCATTCCCATTTACTGTTAAGTAGCGAATGAAAACAAATAAAAGTAAAAAAAATAATGAATTATTTAAAGAGTGTTTGCTTCTTATGTTATTGTGAAAAATTTGGTAGTGTTGTGTGTTATAAACAACGTAAAAATTTTGACAACGTGAACATAACTATGAGATGAAAATTTTGATAAAACTTGGTACCAACGTTAAGTATGAGATGAAAATTTATATAACCCACCAGCTGATAGATATGAGATGAAACACTATCTTACCCCACCATTCGACTTGAATTCAATAATCAATGGAATTCAATGTCATGTGACTCGTGTCATTAACATCATGCGTACGACCCGTGATTTAATGTGAGAACAAAACTATACACATAAAATATACCATAAATCACATGAACAACGATTGCCAAATTGCACTATAAAAATACCTTGTATGCCTCAATATGCCTCCACTCTCCTTCTCAACACTTCTCAATTCCATTGAATTCTCACACGCTGTCATTGCTCAAACATCCATAAATATTCCATCACTACAAATCTAATCAAATTAAATTGAATTAGTCACACACATATAACAACCACCACCTAATTATTAAAAAACAATATAACAACTTACACATCAATTAATGTCACCGGAAAACACTCTCAAACCAGGCAGCATGGTCCACCCGGACCCCACCTCTGGTGACTCCTCCGGCCACTTCAACTCCTCGCCACATACCGGCCTCGTCGGCACTCTCTCCCGCATGGACGGCCACGTGTACTCCCTCGCCGCCAACGGCGGCCTCCTCTACACGGGCTCAGGCGGCAAGAACATCTGCGTGTGGCGGGACTTCCGCCACGTCACCTCCTTCACTTCCGACAGCGGCCTCGTCAAGTCCATTGTCATCTCCAAAAACACCGTCTTCACGGGCCACCAAGACGGCAAGATCCGTGTCTGGCGGGCTGAAAACCCAGACGGGCCCCACCATCGGGTCGGCACGTTGCCGGGCCTGCTCGACGTTCTCCGGGCCTCTGTGAGGCCCGGAGGATGCCACAAGGAGGAGGCGAGACGGCGGCTCCGCCGCTCGCCTGTCTGGGTCCGGCACACGGATGCTGTCTCGTGCCTCAGCATGAGCCCGGAAGACGAGGTGTTGTACTCGGCCTCGTGGGACGGGACGTTCAAGGTGTGGAGGGTCGGGCCCGGGCCTGGGCCCGCGAGGTGCATGGAGTCGGTTCGGGCCCACGACGATGCGGTGAACGCGGTGGCGGCGGGGCCCGGAGGGGTTGTGTACACGGGGTCGGCCGACGGGACGGTGAAGGCGTGGCGGAGGGGGGAGGGTGAAGGGAGGCACGTTTTGGCTGGAATTTTGCTCCGGCGAGAGGCGGCAGCGGTGACGGCGGTGGCAGTGGGCGGCGGAGATGCGGTTTATGCGGGAGTGTCGGACGGGACGGTGGAGTTTTGGGAGGTGGGAGAGAAAGGGACGACGTGGGCCCACGGAGGGGTGTTGAGGGGCCACGGGACGGCGGCGGTGTTGTGCCTGGCGGCGGCGCCAGGTGGCGGCGGGGGGTTGGTGATGAGTGGGGCGGCGGATGGGAGGATTTGCGTGTGGCGGAGGGAGGGAGGTGTGGGGAAAGGGCATGAGCTCGTGTCCGTGCTGACGGGGCATGCGGGGCCCGTTAAGTGCCTGGCAGTCGAGAAGGATGTGGAGGAGGGAAGGTGGACGGTTTACAGTGGGAGCCTCGACAAGTCGGTGAAGGTGTGGAGCGTGTCGGAGTTGTAATTATGGGTGCCGGTATGGTGAGTGTCGCATTTACGGGACTAGGTTCTAAGAGTAAGCGCCCCAACATGGAGGCGATTTTAAGAAAATCTGCATTTT